ATACCACTCGAGTTCAGATCGGGGGGGGAGGGGGGGCATCCTCCCAACCACGCCCCTCCAGGTCTCACTGTCATTGCCCAAGTGAGCATTGAAGTCCCCCAGCAGAACAAGGGAGTCCCCAGGAGGGGCACCCTCCAGTACCCCATCTAAGGACTCCAAGAAGGGTGGGTAATCTGAACTGTTGTTCGGCCCGTAAGCACAGACAACAGTCAGAACCCGTCCCCCCACCCTTAGGCGGAGGGAGGCTACCCTCTCATTGACCGGGGTAAACCCCAACGTACAGGBGCCAAGATGGGGGGCAACAAGTATGCCCACTCCTGCCCGGCGCCTCTCACCGCAGGCRACTCCAGAGTGGAAGTACGTCCAGCCCCTCTCAAGGAGACTGGTTCCAGAACCAGAACCATGCGTCGAGGTGAGGCCGACTATTTCTAGCCGAAACCTCTCAGCCTCGCACACKAGCTCCGGCTCCTTCCCCACCAGAGAAGTGACGTTCCACGTCCCAAGAGCCAGCTTCTGTAGCCTTAACAAGTACATACAGCTAAATTAATGTTAGCTTAAATTGATTGTTATATTTTTATTTTATTTTTTATTATCCTTTACTTATACGGGAAAATCTCTTGAGACTCCCTAGCTGTGTTTCCATTGCAAATGTGCACAAAACTTTGTTGATATTCTGTTAATGTCGAAAAAACACAGTTTCACAACTGCAGTGTTTCCATTAAGTAAGAAATGCTATTAAAGTCACGCGTGAATACGTTTGTTCTCATGATAAATCATTACAAACATGGCGGCGATGGATGTAAACACATAGCATGTTGCTACCACGACACTAGCGCTCATCATCAGAGGAGAGGTTGGCGTCTTTTATCGAGGCTTTCCAGAGACAAGTCCCTACTTGGGAGCGGCTACGTATGCTGTGTTTTTGGGAAATTGTAGTTGGTGAGTTTACTATTTTATGCTACTTCTGTGATATTACTACTACTTCTACTTCCTGATATCTCCTTCGTCATCGTCTTTTTCACCAGTAGAAACAGCTGGTTGTTGATCACGTGACTCCTGTGATGTGAAAAAAGTGTTTCCATTGCAGTTTCGCATAAAACACGAATTTCGATACGGCCGAAATACCACCTCATCCTAGTGCAAAAACATTTTGTCGAAAAACGTAATTTTTTTCGTAACTGACATGTTTCCATTGTAAAGAGTCTGAGGATGTAGAGAGGGCCATTTAAAGGAGACCAATTATGGGTCCTAGAAATTTTTATGGTATGTCTGTGGGCTATCCAGACCATGTTCATTCAATTTAATGCACAAAATAATTCTCAGATAATAAAATTTCCCATTTTCTAGTTCTGCCTGCTCTGACCTCTGTTCAGAAGAGCTGTTTATGTTAATGAGCTCTGTTGGTAACGCCCTCCAAAAATCTGTTGACATTAACTCCGCCCTCCAAAAATCTGTTGACATTAACTCCGCCCTCCAAAAATCTGTTGACATTAACTCCGCCCTCCAAAGCCAGTGGTCCATAATAGCAGAAGCTCCGTTGTACAACTATATGAGAGACCCAGAGGCAGAGTCGGTCCCAGCTTCTTTTTTGTTCTCCCCCTCCTCTGCTCTGCGCTCACTCTGCATGCTRTTACCAGAGCAGGGAGCAGCAGCAGTGAAAATACCTCAGAAACTCGAATAAATAGGCTTTAACAAGGTTTTAATAAGCTAAACAACAGAGGTACATGAGAAAACGTGTTCACAATGAATGAAAATAAATAATTAATTTGTGTCCGTGTCGCTCTCAAACCCTGGTCTCCCGCTCTCTGGTCCAACACTCTACCCATTGCCCTATTGGAGGCTTGTTGTGAAATGAGCTGCGCATTGCACAACAACACGGTGAAGGCTTTTTATACTGAGGAGGTGGAGTCTCACCCCGGGGGTTGCTAGGTAAGGGGCTGAACGCAGGTTCCGGTGGATTGTCATACGGCTTGTGACATCACAAAATGACGAAAGTATAAAACTTGTCATTAATATACATTAAAAATACATTTACTTACAGTAAATATGCACCTGGGTGCATTTTTTTGGTCTTAGGACTGTTTTTTTAAGAAGTACATACCTAAAGTTGAGTAAAAAAACCTTTAAAAAGTGAATTTTGCATAATAGGTCCCCTTTAACTAAAGAATATAAGGTACAATGGTGAGTGAGGGCTTTGCTACCTGTGATAAATCTAAGTGCTCCATGATAGATAGCATCCAGCAGACGTAATAAACTGGCAGTGGCTTTCATATACACAATATCCCCATAGTCTGTGCCAGCTCAGAGGTTGGCATAATCATTGTTTAGGTTCGGACCTCCTGGTTGTAGAGGTCTCCTCCGACATGTTATAAAGTGTACTGCTGCATGTCCTTTTAGAAAAAACTACAACGTAGTTGTATAGATTTATATGTTGTCTTTTTTTAAAGATTAAAACACTGACTGAAATACAGCAGTCAGTATAATTAGCATTAGCAGCTGGCTTAACATTAGTAGTTAGCCTAGCATTAGCAGTTAGCTGAGTGCTAAGTTAGCTTAAGCATGTCGTCAACATTAATGTTATGTTGTGTTTCCTCATATCTGGCATGGATGAAGTCTATTGGTGCGTTCACACCGAACGCGATTTCAGCGTCAAAATCGCAGCCAACGCTGAAGTTTGAAGCTTGTGCACTTTGAGGTC